TTCATTTGACTAGCTCAACTGGTAAAGGCACTTGAATGAAAGCTCTATGATCTACAGTAGGTGTTGTGGATTCAAGCATGTGGTCAAGTCACTAGTCAACTGATTATCTAAATAACAAGTAATAGGTTTATTCCATGGTGAAAAGAGAAGAAAAAAAACGCAACGTTTTGGCAGTGGAGCCTTCTTCACATGTGACACCTTGACCCCTGAAGAAGGCTTTACGACCGAAACGTTGTGTTTTCTTTCTTCTCTTTTTAGTATGGAATAAACCTATTACTTGTTCCTTTGCAGCCTATGCATGCTGACACCTGATTCTCTAAGTGGCAACTCAGATTGTTCTGTGGAGGAAATAAACCTCCTGTACATGGCTGTTGGCTTAAATTTAAAAGATGATAATCTCAAAGGTGACCTGGTCAGAGAAGTATGTCTACTCCTGCTCATTCTTACAATGTTTGGCTACAGGGATCATAGATGTGATATGGAAACACACTACTGACAGGTCCAAATTAGGTGAATATATAACTAAATAACAGGGAAAGAAAGACTTATTAAGAATATGGAGTACATTTAAGATAATATTGAAAGCAGGATATATTTTCCATACTTGTATGTGTGGATTTTATTGTAACTGTGCTACATATTTCTTTTTGCATAGTTGATGCAAAGGTTTGGGATTTCAAATTTAAAAAAGACCTGTCTGTGGATAAGGAGCCAGAATCACAGCTGTAATCCATCTCTGCCATCTGGAGGAGAGAGCTAGAAAGCAATCCTCAAGGGCAGTCAACAATTTAATATGCAAGCAGGTTTGTTATAATTAGGGCCAGTGCAAATTCACACCTACAGTAGCATTTACAAAATCGCTACCAGATGTTGGCTTGGCCAAATCAGTGATATTTAGATGGCAGTAATTAAACAACTGAATTTTTACAGTGACCACATTAACTACAACATCATTGTTAAGTAAAGCTTCCTTTCTAAAATGCAGTGAGATGGTATGTTAATAAGAGTTTCATCATAGGAAAGATTAAATGATTAAAGAGGAATGCTATATTTCCCCATATATTACACCACTTTCCTTAAAGCTAAAATGCAAAGTAATAGTTTTGTATTTTATTGAGGAATGCAATGTGCATAATTGCATAGGGAGCAGGCAAAGCTGTGTTTGTCATTTACATTCTTTGGATTTACTATTGGAATTCATTATTCTTAGAGTAAATGAAACACCTGGACTAAAGCAAAATATGCAAATATAGTAATGAAATGTGAATGCATAGCACATTTCCTAAAATGTATTTAAATGTTAATGATGTATGATTTGTAAAGTAAAAAATTACATCTACATTATGATTATAATATATGGTTTTACCATGGCTAACTAAAAACTATTAATGCATACCAAATGCCATGCTTGATTACTGTGGTTCTAGTGTTTGTTTTGTAGAGTTGAGCCTTTGTTGTAACCTACAGTAAAGTACACATTTGAGTATAGTATTATAGTATTGAGTATAGTACACATTGCATTTTGGTGATTTTAAAGACTAAATAGAAATCTGTGTGGGTGGAGGTGATTCCTATACAAACTTTTATAGAACCTGTGTTGCAGTTAAGGGCTAAATTGCTTCATCCTCTGCACATTGATGATTTGACCATATCAAGGTATTATGCAGCTACAGGAAAGACAATGTTACTTGATGCATAGATCTGAGTCAAGAGTTTTGAAGACTCAAGTCAAATCCTGAGAAATCTCTCACTTATTTCTCGTAGGTCCACAACTGGAATGTTTTCGGATCGAAACATGATAGAAATGTAAAATATCTTGTTGTGTTTAATTTTGTGTTTCATTAATTTAGTTTTTCAATTGAACCCAGTTTCTCTTAATGGCTCCTTTGCAAGAACACCACAAATAATTTAATTTACAGGGTAAGACTTAAAACTGTCAAAAAAGAAAATAATAAATCCCTTGGAGTAATTTACAGTAGAAGAAAATCTTTTCAGGATTAAAACAGAAAAGCATTAAGCCACTGTAGCACCCAAAAGCTTCTGATTTAGAGTATACCACTATCATGTTTTTTAATGTTAGAAAACTCTAGAGAAGCTTAAGCATTTTATGAATTAAATGTATAGTTTGATATCTATGTTAAATGAACAACAGAAATGCATATGCAAATTTGACTCAGAGGGTATGCACAATGCTCCAGAGCAGAGGTTTTCAGAAATTGATGTAAAGTTGTTTATAAAGAGCAGCTCTCTGAGCTTGTGTGCCTGTTTCCATGGAGACAGCCTCCATACCAAGCAGTTTAAGTAGGGCTTCAGGGTGATATTTACTGGAGTTGCTGTGAGACTTGTGAGACATCAGCATGTGAGATTTACTACATATCCATGAGATACTTCTGGATCACAATTGTGTGTGAGTGTGTTGCCAATTGAAATGCCAGCTTGACTCATCCACCAGCAGCATGAGGGTTTACTTACTCTGTGTGCATTTCCAGAATGAGAAGTGCTGTCACTGTCTTTGGAGTAGCAGAAATGTTTGCTCTGAAACTATTTTAGACATTTTTCCACAAGCTTCCGGTCTCAGTGGAGATGTTAAAATCTGGTTTGTGTAAGATAAGATTTAACCGATGAATAATGGGGATTTGTGGAAGTAAAAGTGACAACATGAAGGTATATTGACTATTTATGTCCATGTTAAGGTTGAAAGTGATAGAAAAATAGTAATTGCATCCTTGCTGACCTATTCTCTATTTAGTTGTAGTTTGGTATATTTTGTATGAAAACAAAAAAAAGATACATTTTGAAAATTTAACATTGAATTTAGTGGGTGTCTATAAATTGTGTTTCAAAGATGCCAGGGAAAGGTATCATTATACTGTAAGTCTCTTTCCAACTTTATTAAGTTTATGGATATACTGTATGTGTCTTATAATTTAGGATATTATATCTCTAAGACATATTCAGTGGAACCTCTTACTGTAGTATCTTCAGGAAAGGCAGGCAACACTCCACAAATAATACATTTGTGTGGCTAAGAAAGAAACTATTCCCTTATTTGGTCTAACCAGATTGTTTAGATGGTGACATCCTGAGTATGAGATAAAAGAAGCAGGGGGAACACACTGGGCAGACTGGCCGAGGACAGCTGCATTAATTTGAGGGCAGGAAAGTATGTCAGTGGCCAGAGCTTTGGAGTTGTCTTCTTCTCTGTTCTGAAAAAAATATTGTCATCAGAATGTTCTATATTTGTCCTTAGGGTGGCATTTGGTTTACATCAATAAACCTAATACCACTGACCTAAATTTTTTCTGAAAAATGTGACTGTTTCATGTTTTTATAAATGTATTTTATAGAGTCACCAAAGAGTAGAGAGAGGCAGTATTCCCTTTAGAAGTTTACTCTGCTGTGGGTACTCCATGGATCACAATGTAACAAAAACATAGATAAAGGTTAATACAGTATGAAGTCATTTCACCTTCACCAGTTCTTTGTGGGCAATGATTTATAGTAGGTTTGTAAAAAAATTTGGAACTAAAAGGGAGGATAAAAATATTATTATAGATAATTCTAAATTTAAAGTGGAAAAGTTGTTGGAATATTACTTTTTGTTCAGGACAGAACATTTACAGCTTTTTTGGGTATATTTTTAAATTATATTATTGTTCTAATGCTTTAACATACTATAGTGTATAAGGTCAATTTAAGTAAATGTCATGTTTATAGAAATAGGTAATTGGGCATATATTAATTAATGAAAAGCTACACACTGTTGCGTTCAGTGCATTGTGTATGGAAATGTGTGTCTCGCAAAAACATATACTTTACACATAAAGGGAAGTTGTTATAGCAATTAGATTTGGTATTTTAAGAATTTCTAGATTACAATTTATGTGATCGCACTAATAATTTGACAGTTTTATATTTTCACAGGCACTAAAATTTAAATTACTTTTATCCTGAACTGCTAAAAAATATTGTGATAAAAAATATATGACACACCTTTACTTTTGTTAATAATGGTAACTGAAGCTTTTATTTCAGAAGTTGGTGAATATTGTTACTTTCACTTATGTGTTTGTCAAGGAAATCAATAACCCTCATTAAGAGAAAGTAACCTGGTCAGAGGAAAACATGCTTTTTCATTAACTATCAAATGACCTCATTGTGCCAGACACGCACCACTTCTTTGGCTTTTTAGTAATTGAAACATCCACTGATATTTTTTTTCTCTTTTTCATGGTTGAAGTAAGAAGACCTTAGTATTCTTTTGAGCTTTATAAATGTTTTTGCTCTGTTAATTTGATATATATATATATTAAAACTAATACTATGTAGAATCTTAAAATGAAATCAGAATCTGTAAAGGCAAGTCTGATTTGAGGGCTATGATTAGATCGTCAGTAGGTCACTATTAGTGAGCATAATATGCCCCATCTAGAAACTGTGTGAGCATTTACAGACTTCACGGTAAACAAGTTAAACTGTGTTGGAACAATGGGTATTAACGTATGATGGTTCAGCTCTCTGAGTGAGTCCAGAGACTGAACTTGTGAATATTTTTTTATTGCTGTCACATTATCCAGCATTATCCTTGAATGCTGAGACTCAGGCACATTTCATTTGCGTCACAGCTCCAGGGAACATTACCATATTCATATCAAAAACTGTAGCGAGAGGCATGTAGTGTCATTTACAATGGTGCTTAGAATGAGACGCACAAGCCAAAAGATTGATTTTCATGCACGATGAAGGCATCTCATTGGTTTGTTATATTTTTGTATATTTGTATACCTATTTTGTTTTTGCTGGATGACAGTTAAGTCTGCTTGACTTTTGGTTATTTTTAACAGTCTTTGTAATTTGTGATTTACTTAATAGTCTTAATGTAATTTCAGTAAACTATTTTGTTAAAATGATGTTAGAGGAGAATGATTTTAAAAGAAAACAAGCCAAATCCTGTTTCAGTTTTTGTTTTTTACCTGTCTTTATGTTTCTTCTTCTTGCAGAGCCTTGACAGAATGGTAGACTGCATCAGCAAAGTCATGCTTCACACGGCTATATCATGCTGGCAACCGTTCTTGGGACTGGCCCTTGTGGTGATCTGCATTGGCTCCGCCATTGGATGCCCTGCCCGCTGTGACTGCTCAGCACAGAGCAAGTCCGTCATTTGCCATCGGAAACGCCTCATGGTGATCCCTGAGGGTATTCCCATTGAGACCAAGATCCTTGACCTCAGCAAGAACAAGCTGAAAAGTGTTAACCCGGATGACTTTGCCTCTTACCCTCTTCTGGAGGAACTGGACCTCAGCGATAACATCATTGGGAATGTGGAGCCTGGGGCCTTCAACACCCTGTACAACATGCGTTCCCTCAGTCTCAAGAGCAACCGGATCAAGCTGATCCCCCTGGGTGTCTTTACTGGATTATCTAATTTAACTCTCTTGGATATCAGTGACAACAAAATAGTTATCTTGCTAGATTACATGTTTCAGCATTTACATAACCTGAAGTCTTTGGAAGTGGGCGACAATGACCTGGTGTACATTTCTCATCGGGCCTTTAGTGGGCTACTCAGCTTGGAGCACCTGACCTTGGAGAGGTGTAACCTGACTGCTGTGCCCACAGAAGCTCTCTCACACCTATACAACCTGGTCAGCCTCAGTCTGCGTTACCTCAGCATCAACACTCTGCATGCCTACTCTTTTAAGAAGCTATTTCGTCTGAGGCACCTAGAGATTGATAATTGGCCAATGTTGGATATGTTCCCTGCAAACACCTTACACAGCCTGAATCTCACCACACTGTCTGTTACTAACACCAACTTGTCTGAGGTTCCTTTTCTTGCCTTGAAGCACTTGTCGTATCTCACACACCTCAACCTCTCTTACAACCGCATCAGCAGTATTGAGGCAGGCATGTTTATGGATCTCATCCATCTGCAGGAGCTACACATGGTTGGAGCCCAGTTAGTTACCATTGAGCCTCATGCCTTCCAAAATTTGAGGTCCCTGAGAGTCCTGAATGTTTCTCATAACCGGCTGGACACCTTGGAAAGGAGTGTGTTCCAGGCACCTGAAAATCTCGAGATGCTCTGCTTGGACAACAACCCACTGGTGTGTGACTGCCGTCTCCTGTGGATATTGCAGAAGAGGCGTTCCCTCTCTTTTTGTGACACACAGCCTGAATGCATGACCCCAGAGGGCATTCGAGGGACACCATTCAGGGATTTTCCGGAGACGCTTCTTTCATACTATGTAACATGCACAAAGCCAAAAATCCGTGAGAATAAGACACAGCAGCTGTTCATCAATGAGGGACAGACAGCAAGAATGTTTTGCAATGCTGAAGGAGCACCTCGACCCTTTGTTTACTGGATTACACCACGTAGGCGTCTGGTTACAAATAAATCTAATGGGAGGGCAACAGTTCATGACAATGGCACACTAGAAATAAAGGTTTCTGAGGTTCAGGATAGTGGAACCTATATTTGTGTGGCCAGCAATGCTGCTGGCAATGACACATATTCTGCCTCATTGGCAGTAAAAGGCCTTGCCAGTGACAGGTCGCTTTATGCAAACAGGACCTCTCTGTATTATACAGATACAAACAACACTTCTCCAAATGGAACTAACGTGTACAACACGACATTTGCCTTGGACCTAAAGACCATTCTAGTGTCAACAGCAATGGGCTGCTTTACGTTCCTTGGCGTGGTCTTGTTTTGCTTCCTGCTCCTTTTTGTGTGGAGCCGAGGGAAAGGCAAGCATAAAAACAACATTGACATAGAGTATATACCCCGAAAATCCAATGGGGCAGTTGCAGAAGGGGCAGAGCAAAGTGGCCCCCGCCGATTTAACATGAAAATGATTTAGAGAGCAATGTCTTTATATGAAAATACTTGACACATCTTGGAGAATTCTAAAAGGGGTAGCCGGGTGAGAATGGCGTTGTCTTCTACAGAAGAAAGGAGCAGTTATGGACCTTCTGAAATAGTAACAGTTGTAATACAAAAAGGGTTGTGTTTGCTATTGTACAGAGCTACGAGTAAGCCTGATTACAGTAGTTTGGATACTCACTAGTGGCTAAGTAACTATCAGAGGACCTTAAAAATAGGCAGTTTGTTGGAGTCTGTTATCAGCATTTCAGCATTTTTTATTGCCGACAGTTAATCCTACAGTGGAGGATTTAATTATAAAGACAGTTCAACCTAACAGAAAATGTACAGTAAACTTTGTATTTAAAGAACTATTCCTATTTGTTAAGTCTTGCATCATACTCACTGCAAAGAAGCAACAGTGAAATGGAATGTCTTTAGATATATATGACCTTTTAAAGCAATATGGATGGGATACTGCTTTAGAAGTTATAATCAAGGATTCCCCTTGTTAAATCAGAAAAATTAGGCTTACTTTATCCTCACAATCTCAAACTGCAGCAAATGGGAAAGGGCTTTAATAAATTTGCAGTATAATTTATCCAGTAGGAAGAAAATCCATTTAATTTTTTTTTCATCAAATTGGAAAACAAGGAAATGTTAAGCATTATACTCTTGCTGCAATTCAAAAAAGAAAAAATGTTTTTGGTTATCTGCTGAAGTATCAATTAGTGTAAGGGAGATTTTATATCGGGTGTTAGTTCCTGGGTTTTTAAAAGTAATGAAATGGCAATTATTTTAAAGCTAAATAAGAATATAGAGTATATACATTTTATCATACTGCAATTTACATACTTGTTTTGAACTACCGTATTAACCACTGTTTTTGTCCGTTCTTGTCTTTCTTTCTTCATTCAGCTTCACCCTAATCAGGTGATAATCTATTGGTCTCATTAATTACGTCTCCAGTTTCTGCAGTGAGATTACAATCATTTCCAGTTAGAAATTTGGAATTTGTTACACTCTGTGGTAGTTTCTCATTTTTGTTGTTAAATCATTTAGATTGTGAAAAAGTTCAAAGTATGACAAAGATGTATGTGGAATAAAGAAAATCCATTTGTAACATGGAGTATGTGTACATCTAGAATGCATTGCAAGTAAAGCAACTATCAACTTGAGGTCGCATGCTTGTGAATGATACATTTTGAAAACACCACATTTTTAAGCCTACATTGGATACATCAAGCTTGCATATTGGAATATTATATTATGTACAGTATAACATTTAGTTCTGCAGTTTTTACTTGTCTCCTTTTGTCTAGTTTGGGCGTTGAAGTTGTCAAAGAGAAACAGTCAAAGTTTGAATAAGAGTTTGAAGAAAAATCAATTTTATATACAGCATAAACTGTATATTGTTTTTTTAAATATATACATGTAGCATGCACCTTCTCATATCCGAAAGGTTGCTAAATATACTGAAACTGCATTATTTCCAATCACATATTTACACAGCACCATGGATTCCCACAGATGTCTTTAATATATAATGTGCAAAAAGTAAGACAGACCCCTTGACTTGAAACCTTGAGAACTACAGCACTACAGCACATCAAGCAAAGAGTTAAACTACAGTATTTCAAAGTAATTGTTGGCTCACATGAAATCACAAAGAGTTGACTCAAATTCACTTCAACTGCAACATTTCATAGAAATAGAAATAAAATCATGGATCTTTTTTTATCCAGATCGAGACTGAAAAGCGAACCTGAAAAAATTCTAATAAAACTGTAAAAGGGGAAAACACTTCACACAATTGCCTAATCCTTGGAGACCTGTGATTTTATGTGTTGACATTGAAATAAAATCAATGAATAAAAAAACAATTATCAGATTAGGCTTGTTTAAGCAACTACAAGATGTAATATGAATTTAAATTAGGGTTTACAAATGAATGTGAGTTTCTAATTGTCATTCCGGGTTAACATCACCATTTTATCATCAGTGTGATGTACAATAGGAGAAGGCAAATATTACATTTAACCCTTGAAGGCTTTGAATCCAAGTTAGTGTAACCAACATATTTTGCAATGAAGGTTATCTTATGCTATAAGTAAGAAATTATTGAGTGAGGAGGGACACATAAATAAAAGAATGGAAAGTAAAGATGTATTATGGTATGCTCATCCATTTATTAATCTTATGTCAAGATATTTATCTTTAGGATTATGAGATAAAATCCTTGTCCTAAAGAGCCACAATATATTCTAGTTTTAATTACAGTTCTGAATAACTTAATTGCACCAATCAGTTGCATTGCAAAATGAGAAGTGAATAAGCACTTCAAATCTCTTCTCATTGCATATTTAAAGTTGCCTATAAAATCTGCAGGACTAAGTTACTCCAGGTGCAGGTTGCACTAAATGAGAGGATACCCAGTAGCAACTGGACAATACAAATCTTCCAGTGACACCTATGAATCCAACCATATAATAATAATTGCTTACACTTACCTGTATATAGCACTTTTCTGGACACTCCACTCAAAGTGCTTTACAGGTAATGGGGACATCTAGATGATGCGATGGCAGCCATAGTGCTCCAGTACATTCACCACACCTCAGCTATTAGTGGGAAGGAAAACAGAGTAATGAAGCCAATTCATAGATGGGGATTATTAGGAGGCCATGATTGGTAAGGGCCAATGGTAAATTTGGCCAGGACACCGGGGTTACATCCCTACTCTTTTCAAGAAATGCCCTGGGATTTTTAATGACCACAGAGAGTCAAGACCTCGGTTTTACATCTCATCCGAAGGACGGCGCCTGTATACCTGTTTACAGTATAGTGTCCCCGGCACAGTACTGGGGCATTAGGACCCACATAGACCGCAGGGTAAGCACCCCTGCTGGCCCCACTAACACTTCTTCCACCATCCAATACATAAATTCTGAATGCAGTTACACATTGTTTTCTGATTTTAAAATTAGGGGGTACAACATTCGTTAGGCTGCAAATGATATTGTTACTGATTATTCTTTTAGACATGTTATCTACAGTATGCTGTATGTCACATCTTTTACACACTTATTGAAAAAAATTGATCTGTTATTAATTTAGTTATATAAATATATAGATACAGATAGCTGTCACTTTTATATTTAAGCATTATCCTTACCATGTTGCTCTCAGACACAATCCTCTAAGAGGAGTAAAAAAATAATTTGGGTGGAAGTTCTGGGAATATTTAGGAAATATATGGGTATGTACTGTGTGTTTTAGATAACATTAGTTGCATAGACCTAATAGCCTTTGTGAGAAAATAGCAAAAAGGATACATGGTATACATATATACTGTACAGTATATAACAAACACAGCTGTTTTGTGAATTTATGTCTAAATTAATAACAGATCAAAAAGAAATCTATATTGACACAACAATGTGATATACAGTAGAACCCAGATATTTCACATCTGCACTTTTAATTCCTTATATACAGTACTGTATTTCATGTGAGCTTTGTTAAGTCTGGTGAAAGTTGTAAATTTGTCTAATCCTGATTTGAAAAATTTGGGAAATATTTTGATAATCCTTTCTGAATTTGACCATTAAGGGTAGTAACTAATTATAAAGTAGTAACATCAAAATAGATGCAAATTTTCTTTTTCATTAACAGTGTTAAATCAGCAGCAGTTCATCATGTAATTGAACTACAGTTTGATAGAGATTTCAATGGTGTATGTTGATTCGTTTTTTCTCTATTCACACAAATGACAAAACCTTCCCCTTTTTGCTTTTACCAATCACATTTTGTAAGTATATAAAGATACACAATATTCAAATTGTGAATAGGAAGAATATATTTTTCTAGGACTATGAAATTGTATGCTCTTTGCTGTAATTTAAAGCAGCAGATAATGCCTTTTTATATTCACCTCAATTAAAAAAACCTTTTCCCAAGCACAAGTTATATGTGATCATAATTATCATAAGCAGTTCTGCCCTTATCCTTTGAGCTTTGAATGAGACTGTGAAACACATTAACACTGATGGCCCTAGCTGAAGAGTCTGTTAGTTTAATATATGGAAAGTTTCAAAAGTGATTATAATTTGAAACAGTTTACACTGCTGTGCAACAGTCTTACAGAGTTTGGATTGTCATTGATTTTCCTAAATGATTCTTCCTGTTTATGCAGAAACAGTTTTATGAGTAATCTTCCAATTTCCAATCATTTTGTTTTAAACAAATCATTTTTAAAGATCTGTATTTTGTATTACAAACATCAACATTTCATTTTTATGGATCCATAAAGAAGAATTAATAATGTTAATGACAAGGAATAGTTGACAATGACAGAGTTGGCTACATTGCATACTGGCTGCCCATGTATAGTTTACTTTGAGTTATTGTGAATATTCAGAGATGAACACATTTATTGTGAACACGTTTTTTAATATTCTTATCAATGTGAATTAAAGATTACATGTACATATCTATGTAACTCTTGTTTGTGTCTGAGATGGCTTAGACATTTGCACAGTAGTGTATGTCTCTTCAAAATATTAACAAGGTAAAACATAAGGCGATAAAAATAGTCTAGCCACCCCACCTTTAAAAACATTGCTTTGAGACCAAGCACGATGGCCTCTGACACTGGCTTATCTAGCACTTCCTAATACTGTGAGATTTCCATATCATGTGTATAATTTAAAAAATAACTTGAATACCTTCAGAACATTTAATGCATAAAATTATTGTTTTATTTTGCTGAAATGTATATACATTTTCCTATTGAATTAACTAATATTTATCCTGCTAGAAGTAGGTTATGTAGTATAATCAAAATTCAAATAATAAAAAAAACACTTTGAGCTGATATAATCTGCACAATTCTCATCTCTGAATACTCTTCAAAACTGGGGTTCTTTTTTCCATATTCTTAATTATTTAAAAGTACTAGGGTCTGTTATAATGTTCTCTATGCTCTGCTGCACTACACTGTGTATTATGGTGGAGTCTTTGATAACCAGTAAACAGGACTTCTCTTCTTTTTATGCAGGTAAGTAAAACAACTGCATTCCTTATTCATTTAATATCCATTAACCATTTAATATAAATCATTTACAACTGATTGATTGATTTGAGTGATATTTAGCAAAAAATCACAAGATTCTACAGTGACTGTGATGGACTGACATCCTGTCCAGGGTGTCGCTGCCTTGCACCCATTGCTTTCTGAGCCATTCAGCTCCCCTATGAACCTGATGTGGACACAGTTGTTAGAAAATACTGTAGATGGATGAATTTCACATGCATGTCAGGTTCGTGAACAATAACCGAATAAATATGCTAATCAATGTTGTTTTCTTTGTTGTCTTTTCAAAACTGAAAAGTAAAAAATAAGTGTCATCCTAAATATAGAAATAGACAACCACTAAAGGGTTTCTTTATTCTTGCTTTATGTGGCACTTGACAAAACGCTCAGCCACCCCAATAAGGTGACAGCAACACTTCAACTTTCAAACTGGACATTTCACATCATCTGACCATGTCAATCTCCAAAAACCAAACTCACAAAGAGCAAACAGTTCACTCTTTATTCCTTGTTATTGTATAAAGATAAACCGTGATAACTGTGAATCAGCTGTGTCACTGTGAAGCAAAATTATCCAAATTTAGGATAATTTTCAGGATTTCTTTGCATAATAATTCAAAATGATTTAAATTAGTCCATTGTGACTTAATTTGACAGATTTAGTGGCTTCAGCCAACTATTCAGGTTATATTCAGGCATAACAAATTGTTTAGATATTTGTTCATTACATTTACTGTAGCAAATGGAAATCTGTATGATTTGCTATTGACTTTAATACCTGAATAACATCACCATAATAATATAAATGTCAATATTCGGAAATAAAAAAATATTCTAATAATTTAAATATCTACAGTAAATGACCCTTTTATTAAGATTTTGTAGTGAACCAATTTTTACTTATCTGGCAGAAACAAACACTAAAAATATTTTTATAGCATCAGTGGATAGTGGCGATAAATTTTACTACTATAGGAATGTTGTACTACTTGCCAGCTAAAAAAAATATTTTGTGTATTTATAAAAAGTTATTAAGCAAGAAAAAAACTGGATTAATTGCAACGAACTGATAGAACTGTATTA